CATCTTCCTGTTAGACCCAAAAACATTGAAACCAATATAGATTACCCAAAACTATACAAAAATCGTTTGGCAATCACTCAAAAAAATGGCGTCACAGACAAGATTTGAAGAATGTCATATCAAAAGAATATCACATGTTTTATAATCTTCTTCCATATACAAAGGAAAATTCTTCAAAAGGCCAAAAGGAAGAAATAGAAACCCCACACCTTCTAAAAAAAAACAGTTCAAGATAGAAATAGTACCTAAACGCTATTTTAATTTTATTTTTGTAACTAGATAGTTAAGTTTGACAAATCATTCAATAAACAATTGTAAACACCATTTAACAGTTAATAATAAAAAGTATAAGTATCATGCAGTATCTGCTAACTCTAAAAAAAACTGTGACAAAACCTGCTATCTGACATTATTTTTAATATTTTTAAAAAATTAAACTAAAAATATGTAGAATACCTGTATAATAATAAAATCCTTAAACTGTATTAATTATAAGGTCAGATGAAAACGATTTTAAAATTGGCAACGTTTTTTTTACTTCCTGTAAAGACTAAGTTTTCGCATATAGGAGGTATTGTCAGATCGCCGACGATTTATAGTTTAATAACATTATTTCAAACTACTTTTACTCAGCCAAAATGTTCTTTTCTCTTCTTACTGCAGCACAGTTTTCTTGAGTTTTTTTCTGACTTGAGAAAATCTAGAGAGCTAAAATTTTCCAAAAAATCCATCTCTCTAGATTTTCTGGAAGTCGCAACATGTCTTCCTTAACGTATTTCTTCTTATTACAAATATGTTTATAAAAAGTGAAACAAATCTCGTGATCCGAAACTTGTCAAAGTCTCGCTAACTATCCCAGCAGTCGGCGTTAAAATGAATATGACAAAAACAAAAATAATGGCAAATACAGACAACCCCAGACGTATAACTATAAACGACAATAAGATAGACTAAGTTAAAGAATATATCTAACCAGGGCCAAATTCTGAAACTTGACAACAAGAACCAAAGCGCGGAAATTAATAAAAGAGCAAGACTGGCTTGGGCAGGATTTAACAAACTTAAATGGATACCCAAGAACCGCAAAATACCTCAATACTTAAGCAGCAAAGCCTTCAACCAGTGCATCCTTTCTATCATGATATATAGATGCCAAACCTGGACCCTAACCAAATAAAAATAAACTAGCCATAGACAAGGAAAGAGAGAGGACAGGCAACGCTCATTTAATAGACCTTCGCAAAGCCAGATTCGATGTGACCGACATATTTGATGCCTGTTCGTTGCCCATTAATCTCGCCGGGTTACCAAACTTTAATTTACTGATTTATTGAAACGCTATATCGATCTACTAAAAAATATATAAAGATAAAATCATGCTCAAAAAGTGATCATTATATCAGTGTTCAATTATAAATTGTGGAAAAAATCTATATATATATATATATATATATATATATATATATATATATATATATATATATTGTTTATGATATGTAAAATCGAGAAAATATTGGTTTGCTTAAAATATTTCAAAGTTCAAAAACATTAAAATAATTCAGATAAGTCAAACAATAAACTACAAACATTTCGAAGAATGGAAGTCTTTTAATTTTGGATTACCTGTATTTAACAAAACGTAAGATATGCATAAATTATTTTCTTTGTTAAAATATATTTGTATGACGTGAATAAGCTTAAGTGAAATAAAAGACAATTGAACCGGGTTTTCCAAATACATTAGTGCAGTTGATTAGGACAATAGAATAGATTTTAGAAAGATAGGTTTTTGTTAGTTTTTAAGAATTGTAGAAAAATATTATTTGTAAATAAGTTTTAGGAAATTTTATAATTATAAGTAAAATTTTTGAGAATTTTTACCTATAGTTATGTACGTAGAACAAAATTTTGAGAATCATTATATGAGATTTTGTTTATTGAAAACATTTAAGTGTGAATTTATTTCATTATTTTTATTTCAATATATAACGTTAGATCCTATGTGTTTTTTATTATTCCAGTATTCTTTGGACCTTACCTTTCACATGTAATAGCATAGATATTGAAGCACGAATTTAACCCTGAGATAAGAGAATTAAAAAGTGTGAATTTTAAATAATTTTAATTAATTAATTAATTAATAAGCTAATTAATTGCTTGGCGCACCAAGACTTTAAATATCACAATAATGTATATATATATATATATATATATATATATATAATATATATATATATATATATATATATTATATATATATATCAATCTACTGAAGAAATAAAATATGAGCTGACAACCTTTCTGGTGTCGGTTTGACTTCAGTTAATTCCATACGATTACGCGTCCCCTCTCTTTCCTTGTCTAAGAAACTAGCCATATAGAAGTGGCAATGTTAGATATATAACTGTCAGATGGATAGAACAACAACGGGTAAGATCAAAAACAAAAGTCAAAATATCACAACAAATATTGTTCAACTCAAAAGGAGCTTCATAGGCCCCACTGTTAGACATAAGAGTCCCTTACAAAGGCGGAAGATCAAGAGAAAAACCACATATGAGTAGATAACATTAAAAAAACAAATAGGAAATGTGTTGCTTAGGATAGAGATCGATAGAAGAAGTTGGGAGAAGCCTATGTCCAAAAATGGACAATAGAAGGCTAATGAAAAAGGAAATGGAAAAAGAACCTGTGTAGGACCATATTCTATAAAGGCTAACCCCGTGCGATTGATTTGTTGTAAGATACGCATCCCCATGACATAACTGCCCATCCACCAAATATAATTTCGTTGGCAATACACGCTTGAAAGTTTCTCTCACTTGTTCACCGCTAACTCTTAAATATCTACCTGGGCCTGTATAACAGAATCGCCATTTATCGGAAAACAGTACACGAAACAAATCACCCTTTCTCCAAGCATCTCCAAGTGTTTTTCGTGCAAAATTTAATCTTGCAATCCTATTATCATGGCATTGCGGCGATATATAGAGCAGCTCTAATTTGAGAAGGTAATCCGGCAGCATGAAGTTGCATTTTATCTACTCATTTTTGTTAACATTTCTCACCTCTTAGTAGATGATTTCAAATGTAAACTGCTACATCTCTAGCTGCTATTACAGCCCTTCCTCGTGCTGAACCGGGTGTCCTAGTGCGAAGACGAGTCTCATCATACGTCTGCCATAAGTACTAGTTGCATAGCCGAAAGACAGCAACGTTTCTGAAAATTTTGCAATTAGCAGCGGCTATCTTTTAAAATCCGTCACAATTCTTGCCACAACAACATGATTTGTACTTATTTTTATACGGTAACAATGAAACACTACATAAATAGTTTGCAATTGCTTTTTCCGACTCACTTAGCGCAGTCAAAGCTATAAAAACCTCTACCCTTAACACTCCATCGATAAAGTGATCAAAGGCAAACTAATGCAAACTCAAGACAACTTCAGAAGAATCGACTTACTGTGTTATCATCTAATATAGGCGTTGAAGGGAATGAACAACAACTCCGAGTTTTGGAGTCTGGCTACTTCCTGATAAACTGTGCTAAATAGGTAAATAAAAGACTTTTTACAATTTTTCACGTAACTTTAAAGCACTACTTGATGAAAATTTTAACTTTTTTTTAATCGATGTCTCGGACGACAAGGATTTCAAATATATTTTCAATCAGCAGCTGAGCAACAATTTCGGGTATATTTCCGCAGTGGCGTGGAAATACAATGAATGCTAGAGAATGGGGTGGGAGCTCACTCAAAATGGTCTTGATTCTATTCAAACAAATCTGGTTCTACTGCCTGACTCGTTATTAAAAAATATTAGTTGCAAATGTAGAGAAGATTGCACGAAAACCTGCAATGAAAGTGTCAAATTGTCTACACTGCAACGGTCAGACATGTAAAACTATTGAGCTAAAAAAACAAATAGAATAGGTTGAACAAGATATGGAATCTTTGGAATATTCAAGAATTTTAGATGAAAAAGGGACCAGATAAGAAGAACCCATAAATATCCAAATCGAGAATGAAGACATTGCCATGCAAAATGAAGGTTTTGGGAAAAAATAACTTAAAAGATACTTTAGAAGCTACCTAACCAGCCAAATAAAGAAAGATTTTAAACAATATTAATTGATTATGTTAGTATAACATATAAGCGGAATACGGAGGCTTTGAGTTATTTTAGTATTTTTATCTTTAATTGTGGCTTATTCCCAGTTAAATAGTAATTGTGTTTAAGTTGTCGAAAAAATGTATGTATCTAGCGAAAAACTCAACCTACAGACATAATTATGAGGTAGTATCTAAACCAAACTCTTCATTACCATTAAAGTTTTTGCCAGTTTCAAGAAGGAACAAATAGATCTCTTTTAATTGCTTAATATCTATTCTTTTAAAAACTTTTTCTTCTTTTTATGTAGACATGTTTCTGTCTGTTTTTCAATGTGTCTCCAGTAAGTTCTAGTTTCATTGTTTTCGTAGTCTTCCTACTGATCGTCTTTTTTTCTTCTGTTTGTAGTCTAGATTTGAATTGTTAGTTCTTTTCGTTCAGGTCGTTATTCATTTCTTTTACTGCATCCATGTCTTTGATTACTGAGTCAACTTGATTATATTATTTTCATATTTTGCTGATCAATTGCATCTAACGTCCCAAGAATAAACCTATTTTCGCTTCGGATACGCTTTATTTTACTCGTAGCAAAATTACTAGTATTGCTTTATTGCAATTATTGTATTTGTTGTTGGTCGATTTTAATTGTTTTTGTATATTAAATTCCTCCAAATATTAAGTCTATGGTGAAATGAAACTAGCATAGTTAACTGAGAAACTTTTTTATGAATTTTCGTCACTTATATGATTTTGACGGAATCTTTTTCGATGATATACTTTTGCTTCACGTCGCCTGAAAACACGCAACCAGATCTCCCTACATATCACTCTCTTACATATCTTAAGACCTAACTCTTAAGATATGTAATGAAGAAATAAAAAGCAAATACGTTTTGTAAAATTTATCGTTACAAAAATACTATTTTTTATAAAAGGTATCAATAAGTGAAAGCGCTACTCCATTGGTCCATCCAAACCCAGTTTGAGGATTATATTCTCCGCCGCCGCCACTTGCCCCCGGTGTAGTGGCGTCATATTTCTCGTACATCGTTTGAGTTTTGTCATATCCCAGCATACACGCATCTACATATCTCTTCGCCAGCTCTTTCCGCCATATCTAAAGCTACGGAATTGTTAGTGTTCTTAAGGCCTAAGATGACGATCTCTTGCAAAGGAGGCCAGGCATTTGGCATGTCCCATTGCTCACCGCTGTCAAGTAATGATGAAGGAATACCACCTTTGAAATCGTCAATGTTATTGTTCTTTAAGTACTGAACGACTTTTTCTCCAGTTTCGGGATTTTTATCGAAGTCTCCTACAAATATATATTATAATAATAATAAAAAATTGTACTCAAAGTAAACTGTTAGAAACAAAAATGTAATAGAAATATAAATACAATTATGGTTCGTGTTAGACTTTTCTTTTAGTGTTACATTTCTTCCTAATACGTGTATTAGATAGTGACAAAAAAGAAGTCCGTGATTTGAAGAATTTACCATTCATGTATACCTACTCGAATATTCAGAAGACATATTTACGTACAGCTATTTAATTGGTTGGTATTCATTATTCATCTGTCAGTCACTAGCTAATCGAATCGTGAGAATATTCCGATTGAAAACTGTGATTCTGTGTGATAATGATAACTAAATACTTTGTAAGTGCGAAACGTTAAAGTAATCAGTGTAAGTTTTACCACTGGATAAATAACAATTACTTTCTTATTCTGTGTCAATGCTAGATTTTTACTTTAACACGTTGCCTGACATAGAGGAATTTGTAATACTTTCCGTTCACGCCAAGGCCATTTCTGCTATATGGTCGAAAAAATTACCACTCACGCCACGGTGCGCAGATGTATCTTTATATAACCTGTAATGATTCATGTTTAAAAATTTTCAAAATTTCTCTTACAAAAAAAAATTGCGAAAATATTCACGTTAAAATTCTCGGTCAAATAGACCTCGCTGGCGTGCAGGGTAATTTTTTTCTCGGTCAACTAGACCGAGACTGCAGGCAACGTGTTAACGGGAAATTATTTGAAATAATGTCAAAAATCATAATTTGAAAAAAAAATATCAGAGGTGGTAAAAAGCGGATTTACTTTGGCACAACGTGGAGCCGCGAAATTTAAAAGTAAATAATTCTAATTCTGAATCTATTATTGTCTAAAATCACAATTTACCATTTTGAAAAAAAAATTAGATTTTTCAAAGAGGATCTATCCATATCCCGAAGGTAACTGACTGAATTCTTTTCAACAGACTAGATGTAAATAAAAAGTAAAATGCTGATATAAAAATCTTATACTCCTTATGATGATGACTAAAACGCTTGTGTACTGTCGATAGTCATAAGTGATGCTGTTGCCAGCAATATGTATATACAGTGTAGGAAAAAGTTTATGGTCGGTATGGACCTTACGTGAGATGGAGTGAGAAACAGCTGTTTAGAAAGAGAGAGATATATTAGGTCCGCCCTTTATATCGCCAAACATGCATGCCTGGAAATAATAAAAAAGGGGAAGTTCAACGTTGCCAAACTTATTGGATTTATTTGACCTGTTGTTTTTTTTTTGCATTTGAACAATGTTCTAAGATAATCCAATTTGGGCGAAATTGATTTAAATGGCAGCGTACTGTTTTTTTATTGGGAATATGCCATACGTGTAATATAACATTTTGATTTCCACTTCGGAAATCGTTTTATATAAAGAAAATTTATTAATGTTTCGTATTTTAAGTACGATTTCCGAATTAAAAATCTAAACATCAACGTCGGTCTGGTCTGGTTTGGCCGACCGAGTAACGAGTAGTAGAGGTGGGTCGTGGTAGTTTTATCGTTAAGAGCGTAAGCACACGGGCCAATATTTTTTAAATGCATTAATTTTTTGCGAATCCTGGGAAAACTAATAAATATTTTTGAAAAATTTAAACGCAGAATGAAACAATACATTATTACCGAGGGCCGAAAGTCCCTGAAAACTTCTATAATGTCTATTTTAATAAGTTATAGGGGTGAAAAAAAATTAGTGTGATTTTTAATTTCAAATATCTCATTCAAAAACCTTTTTGTTTATTCTAAGGGACTTTCGGCCCTCGGTGATAATGTAATCTTTTTTTCTGCATTTAAATTTTTCAAAAATATTTGTTAGTTTTCTCAGGATTCCAAAAAAATGAATGCATTTAAAAATTTAAATTTTTGTAAACAAGTAAGTATGATTGTTTAAAAGTAGTTTTAAGTAAGAGAGTAGGTACCTACATAAACAAACATAATGGCTATTATCGTTTATGTGTATATTTATTGAAGTGAAAGAAACTAATGATTTATTTATTATAACTTAAAAATTAAATCGCGAATAGTCTAAATTGACATTCAAAAACATAAGTTTTTCAACTTTACTTCTTATTAACCGTCTTCCTTTTTTTATTTCAAATTAAACCAGATTTTAAACATGTGTTCACATTTACAATACTAATAGTGATTAAGTTAGGATATACATGGCGATGGTTTTTCCACCGTTGTAATGGACTCTCGATGTACGTGTAGATGAGCCATCTCCAATTAATTGATCAAAAATACACCATGGATTTAAGTCATCTTTATTGGTTTCTTTTTCTTGTACTGGTTGATTTTCAATAGTACAATCTTCTTGTTCGTTAATTATAGAAGTAACCAGCTTCTTAACTTTTTCTTTAATTTTTTTATCTTCATTTTTATCAGAAAAACGCTGCACTTTAAATGGTGAATCCATAAATGTACATAATAACAATGTGCCACTCTGTTCTATCCCTTTAAAATCTTTTTGCTAAACCCGATATTAGTAATTGTACTACGTCGGATACTATGGGTGTAAGGTTTGCTAAACCTTATTGCTAAATTTACCGTTTGCTAAAATTTAATTGCAAGATTCTTGCAGGCAGCGTACCATAACAATCACTGAACTACCCTTCAAGTATTTTTGGTCACTCATTGTACTTGTTATTTCTTTAAACGGCCGTAAAATTTGGGAAAGCTGAGAACAAATAATCCAGTGTTATTTATTTAGATTTGGTCTAATTATTTAATACCGATGTGGAACGGATTGCCTCTTCTATCTCGGTCATTTTTTTTAACATGTAGTAGGTGAAGTTGTACCTAGTTTCCACGTCTTGGATTGGCCGTTTGGGAACTTTTTTATATTGTAATTAATACTTTAAAAGCCTTTCTGAAGATAAGGTACTTTTTTTTTTAAATGTGTTTTTTTGCAGAATTGTCGAAAATAGGACTTTTTATTTTATCTATTATCAAATCAGTTTTTGACATAACATTCCTGAAGTAATGAACCTGACAGTTTTTCTTGTTGTCAGTTTATATCCAGGAATCCATCCTGCAAACTTTTTAAAAGCTGGTTCTTCACCTATGGAAAACGGATGAAACGAGTCTTTGCATAAGTTTAGTAAATCTTGAAAATCAACCAGTACAAGAAAAAGAAACTGATAAAGATGACTTAAGCCATGGTGTATTTTTGATGAATTAATTGGACATGACTCATCTAAACATACACCTGTATCGAGAGATATAAAAGAAGTCGACATGTATTTGTCTGATGATATATTACCCACAAAAAATTTCGAACGGAGATTGGAACTGTCCATTACCGTGGTGGCAAAAACCATCGTCATGTATATCCTAACTTAACCACTATATTCATAAAATATTGTAGTATTGTAACAAAATCTTTTAAATTAATTTTAAATAAAAGAGGAACACGGTTAACAAGAAAAGTGGAAAAACTTGTTTTTAAATGTCAATTTAGACGAATCGCGATTTAATAATGTGTAATGTAAATGTAAGTACTATTTGTATTGTTTAATTTATTTTTCAAGTTATAAGAAATATATCCTTCGTTAGGTTCTTTCACTTCAATACTTATACACATAAATGATAATAGCCAATATGTTTGTGTACTCGCTAATTTGAATTACAGTTTACGAAAAACGGTTCCGATAAAAATTTAAAAAACGAGAGGATCCACCTCTAGTTTTTTAGGTATATTAGGATCGGAACCAGAGAATATGTAAAATATCTCTGATCGGAACTATTCGTCTCACGAATGAGCAATGAGTGTTAAAAATATTTATGGAGGGGAGACCAAGGGGAAATATGATTGTTATCTTTGTCTATTCGCTGAAAATATGATTTTATATCTGCGTTAGATATCCTGTTAAATTTTACCATACCGACCATAAACTTTTACCTACACTGTATAGTTCGATTGAGATCAATATATTTTTTAACTACAAAGAATTTACTTATTGTATAAAATGTAATAAATGTGTTTGGGAGGAGAGCTGCTCAGCCCATAGACACATTAGATACACCTTAGAGGAAAAAGCAGCAAAAGTCACTTAACAGAACCCACGTTCAACTAACTGGGAAGCTTATAAAGAAGTTCTAGACTAACATCTGTCGAGGGTGAGGAGAAAGATAAATAATTTCATGGATCTAGAAATGACAGTGAATGATTTAAATGAAGCATTCCAAGAAACCTGCCCTCTAACGGAGAGAAGTTCCACCAGGGATATGCCATGGTGGAATAAAGAATTGTCTGTGTTGAGAAAAAGGACGACGAAACTAATCAACAGAGCTAAAGTAACCGGGAAGTGGAGAGAACACAGAATCACATAGACGGAATACTCTACAGCTATAATTAAAGCCAAGAGAGACACATGGAGGAAGCACTGTGAGGAAAGCACTCATGCCTGTGCTAGACTTCAAAAGGTGCTCCCAAAGGAGAAAACATTCACCCACTTAACTCACTCCTAAATAACAAGTGCGAGTATACTATTATAGGAAGAGACACAGTTGAATAGCTCTTCAGAGTGCACTTCCATGGATCATAAACAGTTGAATCACCAATTGGCTTGGAATCAGTAGGCAACAAGGCTCTACAGAGATCCTCAAGAACTAACTGACAGACAGTCAAATATATTGTAAACTATAAATCACCAGCAATGAATGGTATATATCTAGTGTTGTTACAAAAGGGACCAGAACTTTTGTACAGCAGAATATGTAGTGTAATCAGAAGTAGTGTAGCCTTTAGCGAAGACATTAGAGAAATTGCTCAACAGGTCATTGAGGATCACACAGTCAATTCATCAAGAAGAACATGCCTAAAAAGCAGGAAACTTAACCGAGACAATACTCCATAGACTCGTAGAATAAGTAGAGAACAGAATTGAAAATAAAGAGGTGCTGCTAGTAGCCTTTTTGGATATAGAGGGGGCTTTCGACAACACTTCGATAACATACATAACCAATGCCCTGAGACGTAAAGTAGTAGAAGACATATGTTTGAACTAGATAGAATCTATGCTCAGGAATACAGTGGTAAATACCACTATCCTTGGAGATACCGTATTAACCAGGGTTGGACCGTATTGACCCAGGACTGTGACGAAGGACATTTTTACTGAGAAACCAGATCACATGACAAAAAACTAAAATTGTTTATTAGAGACAGAAATGTATAGAGAAACAAGGGATACCATAACCAACAGGGGAAGATCTGGTATACAGAGAGATCCGCATTGACTGTAATAATTCGAGAATTAGGGAAAACTTTGTATTGGAGACGAACTGTACAGTTTTTCAAGCGGAGATTTATGCGATACTGCAATTGCAATGTGCAAAAGGCAATAATGACAGTTCGTGAAAAAGAGCAGATCCATATATTGTTTGACAGTCAAACGGCTGAAGGTACTGGCGTGTCAGGAAGTGACGTCTAGGCTGGTGAGGGACTGCATCAAAGAACTGAATAAACTGGGAGACCGGAACAAGTTTGAGCTTGTCTGGGTACAAGGATATCAGGGTATCGAAGGTAACGAAAAAGCAGATTAACTTGCAAAAAAAAAAGAATCAAACTAATTAAACGATTCAAAGGTTGCTACGTAGGGATGTAGAGGAGAATGGTTCAGAGACAGCCTTTAGCGATATTGGAAGATAATCTCAAAATAAATACATCAAAAAAATATTCATTGACCATGTAGAAAAATAACAGAGGAACTGCTTCATATGGATAGAAACAAACTGTGAACAGTAACAGGAATGTTGACCAGGCACGCGCCAGTGAGGGAATTCTTGAATAAAATATTCATTTACAATAGAGACCTTAACTGCAGACTCTGTGACAAGGGACTTGAAATTGTAAAACATGTACTATGCGACTGTGAGCGATGGACCGTAAAATACAAATATGTATGGCCAATCAAGGGGAAACCCTGGCATATTTACAACACACCAAGCAAAATACCTGTACAAACTTCTACAGGCTACAAAAATTCTAGACTGGGTGTACGAAACAACTATGGGTAGACAAGGCTGGTACCCATTTCGGATATCAAATAGTGTATCAAAGGATAGGTATAACGTTTATATATATATATATATATATATATATATATATATATATATATAATGTCAGTTATGTAGTTTCTACGATATTAACATTCTTTGGAGATTCTACACATGCTAATAATATGAAGAAACTAGTGTAAACAGGAAGCAAGATGTCGAGGGCAATCACAATCCGATACAGTTCAAAAATTACTAAATATGAATTTCGCCATTGGTTGTTCATGTATGCTAAAAGAATATGTTTCAGATATTGCAAAAAAATAACGGATGAAATCGTTAAACAATTTAAATAAATCCTACCTGTCCATAAAGGAGCTAAGTTACTAGGATAAAAGCCTTTCCTAGATTTTCCAGATTTTATGTCGAAATCATACCAAACGCCGTCTTCCTCGGAATAAAGAAATTTTTGAATGCCCTTCTCTAACTTGTCAGCTCTGCCGCTCCATTCTTGAGCTTTGTCAACATTGCCTAGTATTGAATAAAATCTAGATAACTCTTTAAAGGATTTGCATAGAAAAGCGTTTAAATCAACAGGTATGACTCTGAAGGTGTCAATATCTGGCAAGTCCGGTCCGGATGTTCCGTCTTCTCTTAAGATCCAACGTGAGGAAAAGTCCCAACCACTTTCGGCTCCGCTTTTTAGGTTCTTATAACACTGTTCCTAAAACATTTAATATTATTATTTTTTTAATGTGTCTCATGAATCAATTATTATGGCCTTACAGTATATTATTTTATTGTAGTACGATCTTTTTTAATTATATATTTTAATTACTTCACTGTATATCTAAATTATCTTTTTCAATTAATTACTATTAAACTGGGAATAAGCCACAATTAAAGATAAAAATACGTTTATTGACGTTTCAATTTCCACTTCGGAAATCGTTCTCAAAATACAAACAGTAAATTAAATAAATTTTGTTTTTTGTTACACGTTGGGATCTATTTTGTCCAAAATCAAACCTAACAATGAACAAGAAAGGACAAAGAATTGCATTTATAAAATACCTTGTGAATGCGATCAGTTTTATTTAGGTGAGTCATCAAGGCCATTAAATGTTAGAATAAGTGAACATCAATCTTATATTAAAAATAGAGAATTTGATAGATCTCAAATCTGTAAACACGCATGGGATAATAAACATAGGGTTCAATGGAATAATTCAAATGTAGTCCTAAAAGAAACGGATGGTAAAAAAAGAAAAATCAAAGAAGCGGCTCTAATTATGCTAAATGAGGCCAATTGTGTGGCAAATTCCTCGGCAGAATGTAGTAGGATCTGGTTACCAATATTGAAAGAGGAAGCTATTAATACGAAAATACCAGTATTAGTAAGTCAGTAACATATAGAGGATACATCATTTATGTTTTTTAAATAACGTAACATATAAAATCAGAATTTTGATGTTTGTTGAAGGTAAACTAAATTCACAAACAAATACATACAATGTGGGGATAGTATTATGAGGTTTTTTTTCGTGGTTTTTCCCTCATAATTTACTATGGAATCACTAACAGGAGAATTTTACTGTCATCATGTCATGTATTTGTCTTTTTAAAGACGAATTACATGCTATGATTTTTTTCTGACGGATATTCTCAAGTTAAAGTTGATTTCATGTAATCGAATGAACTATCTTATAAGTAAAGTCGTCCCAGGAGCGCAACTCAACAATATTGGCAATATCATTTTAAAGTCGTCTACTTTAAAATGCATAATGTATGTCTGAATTGTCAATATAAATAAGTCAGATAAAATTAAATTATTAGAAGAATTTTTTACTATGTAACAAAAAACAAAATTTGTTTAATTTACTGTTTGTATTTTGAGAACGATTTCCGAAGTGGAAATTGAAACGTCAATAAACGTATTTTTATCTTTAATTGTGGCTTATTCCCAGTTTAATAGTAATTAATTTACAATGCCACAAGAAAATAGCTTCAGAACAATATATTTTTCAAATTCCGACGGCAAAGCTGAAAAACTCATAATGTTTGTCAAGTTGTGAGAATGCCACTTATCTAAATTAACACAAGTATTCTGGAAACCATTCATTTTAAAGACAAACGCTTGAAATAAAACATTTCCAAAAGACCAAGTTTTTGAAGACTTTCTAATTTATCGTATTTTTCAATAATGGGATATACACACTACACGAAAGGCTCCAGTTACAGCGTTAAAATCTAATTTATCACTGTGTTTCGTCCAAAGCAGTAGCTAACAAGACGTCAATCAGCAAGTAATCATGGGTTAGCACCGAAATGTCGCTTCTCGTTTCGGTGGTACCACGCCGAGCCCTTCTGCATCGTGATGTCGGCTGTCGATCTTATATGCTGTCGTCGCTACAACACATTTCAACAAAAGGTAAGTGAATTTTTTCACATATTGATAACATTTATGAGTTACGCCAAGTGTTTTTTTATTTAAAACTACATATATTCTCTTCAATTATTTATTATTTTATTTTATTAACCAGCTATTTTTCATTACGTCGTACTTAATCATTTTGCTTAAACACTCTCAAACAAATATTTGATTTCGATCGGTCTATTCATTGCCTATATTTTCGTTCCTTTTTACATTTTATAGGTCTATCCATTTAGTCTTTTTTTTTGTATTATGAGCACCCCATTTCTTTTTTAAGAATTCCGGTGGCAAACAGTGGCTCTCGTTTTTTGTGAATTATTGAGCTCTTCCCATCCTGTTTTCATTCTATATATCTCACGTGTGCCTTACTTCCCTTCTTCTTCTTCACGTGGCATATCAGAGTTATCCAACGTTAGTATCACCATTACGAAGGATTCTCGATCTTCTGCAACATGAAATAATTATTCTGCATTTGATATCTCCATTCACGGTCGCACAGTCCATTCACGAATGTTTTTTACCCAAGAAACTTGTTTTCTTCCTACACCTCTACGGCCTTCTATTTTGCCTTTAGGGATCAGTTGTAATATCCTATATCGATTTCCCCTCACTATATGTCCCAGATAAGACTTATTTTTCTACTCACCCATTATTTCTAACGACTGAGCATCGGTGCCTTCGAGACACAAAGTGTATCAGTGTCCTTCCTATATGTTACAGTATATCTCAAGTAACGCCGATAAACCGAATACAATATATGAGTTACTAATTATGTCTAAAGTTTTAATCAAACTTATTAATAGTGGTAGAAATAGTTACCTTATCTTTGTCTTTAAAGGACTGACAAGTAACAGTATCCTCATAGTAAGATTCCGGTCTGGGCGTGCCGCTAGTACACGCATACCTTGCCATCTTGTGCCCGTGAACAGATATCATACGATTTGTTAAAAACCACGTCAATTCCTTTTCGAGAGTATCTACATTTGCTTCTAACCAGTCTTTGTTGTTAGTTGCATCTATATAAAGGCCCACCATCAGAGACAGTAAGGGTGGTTGAGATCGGTTTAAGTAATATACCCGACTGCCATTCGGTACAAAGCCATATCTGTCAACTAGGGAGAGGAAATTTTCCAAGATACCTAAAAAAGTACAAAGAAACATTAATACCTATCTGTTGTTGTTGTGAGTGAAGAAAATAAATTATTTCCGTGAAATATGTTTATATATAAGTAAAGTTAACAAAAAAGGCAATTAACGTTGAAGGATAATCTACTACCTACAATATTACAGACTTAAGAGCGAGATATCATCAGAATATTCTGCAGATAAAACAGTACGAATCCAAATAGACTACTCGATGATTACTCGATGATACTAGATATACGACGTGAACCAAAAGTCCGGAAATGCCAAACTATCGATTCCAAACTCTTTTCAATATGTGGATTTCAAATTTGATGTTGCAATGTTGCCAAATTTACCATTTTTCTGATATCATTAGTCACTTTTGTTTTTTGAATACAACACGCCGTATATTGTATTATTATTATTATTGGAATCCTCACTTTAATACAAGTTCAACCATAGGCAACACTTAAATACTAGATAAAAACACTTTTATATAGCCAGGAAGATTTTAAATAAATAAAACTTCCCAGTGCAAAATAGTCTAAAGGGAGAGGGGAAGGTCATTTTGAATACTTTTTAAATTATAATATTTTTTGTGTTCCTAATTAAAAAATAATAACATATTTTAAAAAAAAATATTTGTAAAAATGTGATACTACATTTAAAAAAAGTGGCTGTATCGTCTAAATCAGCGATTCTCAAACTGTTTTTACACGTACCACTTACATAAATTCTGCGTCAATCGCGTACCACCTATTAAAAAAGTAGATAATAAAATTTACTAATTTTGGCAAAAATGTATTTATTTAAAAAAGGGCATTATAAATGTTACAAAATAAAACTTACAGTCTGACCCAATCCAAAAATTCAGTGAGAAGGATGGTTCTGCATAGGTACAACAAGTGAATCGATATCAGGATCAATTGTGCTTAGTTTCATTCGTAAATTTGGATCAACATTAAGCCTACTGCGAAATTTATTTTTCAGTTGTAGCATAGCAGAAAATCCAGTTTCACACAGGTAGGTTGTCGTAAAAGGAAGTAAAAATAACAATGCTTTTTCTGATAAGGCTGGATATTCATTTTTAATATTTAGCCAGAATTCAGCTAATTCTAATTTAGAAAACTCTATTTTCAAGCCTCCATCACAAGATAGTTCTATTAAAGATTCTTTTGCATCCTGTTTTAATGATTCAGGAATGCTATCCAAAATAAATGGTTGTCGTATCCAAAGAAACTGAGCATAATCTTCGTCAAAATATTCTTTAAAACTATCAATTAGCATTTGACAATGCTGTTTTATGTTAAAAATAAGATCATCTTTAATCTTTATTTCATGCTCAACCACAAAATTTTCTTAATTGGTAAACGACTGCAAGTCTTTGTTTGAAACACTATTTTTCATCATATAACATTTCTTGATAAAAGCATTTATTTTGTCGTTTACAGAAAATCGATTATGTGATTTACCTTGTAAGCTTAAGTTTAGGTCATTTAATCGATTAAATATATCTGTTAAGTAAGCTAGTGTTGTAAGCCACAATTCATCTAATAACCGATCACGCAGTTCAAAATTGGTTTCCATTAAAAACACATGTACTTCAGAACGCAACTCGAATAACCTGTTCAACATTTTTCCTTTTGATAGCCATCTTATCTCCGTGTGTAGCAATAACTGAATATGATCACTTCCCATTTCAGAGCATAGTTTTGAAAATAAACGCGAGTTTAAGGCTCGAGATTTTATGAAATTGACTATCTGAACGGCTTCATGGAGAACATGTTTAAATTCATCGGGCATTCGCTTTGCTACCAAAGCTTCTTTGTGGATACTACAATGGGTAAAAGTACAATTTTCTGCAACCAGTTTTACTTTGGCAGTTACACCTCCGTATTTTCCTGTCATGGCTCGGGCACCATCCGAACAGAAACCAACTTTTTGTCCATTGTTTTGGGCATTGTTTCCAGTCTAGTCCATTTTCCACAAAAAAATCATTGATTTTCTTGAATATTTCATCGGCAGTAGTTCGTTCCGTTAACGCCTCACAAAATAAGTACTCTTCTTCGATTTTGGTTTGAAATATATACCGCACATAAACCATAAGCTGAGCATAGTTTGTAATATCTGTGCTCTCATCAAGTTGTATTGCAAAAAAATACTATTTTTTATCCGGTTTATCAATTTCTCTTTAACATTTAATGCCATTATTTCAATCCTACGATGTACGGTATCATTGGATAATGGTATAATACTAAGCTGTTTACCTGAATTCTCTCCAAAAATACGTTACCATATCTTGTGCGGCAGGCAGAACTAGTTCTTCGCCGATTGTATGCGCTTTTCCACACTTCGCAATTCTTAAACTCACGAGGAAGGATGCCTCTACTGCTTTTTGGTTGCTGCCGGTGAAATTCGACATTAATTTTTTTGTGCCTCTCATCTCCGTTAACTTCCGAACGAAGTAATCCTTAGGTTTATTTTCCAACACTGAATGTTTTGTACTGAAGTGGCGTTTTAATAGCGAAGGTTTCATACACTGGTTAGAAAGAATTTCCGAACAGATTACACATTGGGGCCTTGGCTTATCATTTATATTCGTGAATGTAAATCCCATATTAATGTATTCAGGATCATATTTCCTAACCGCCACTTTTAGTTTTTTGAAATAATTCTTTTTGTCATCACCCTGGATAGGCTCCGACTCTGAAGTGGAGCTCGATAGACCGGGATTTTCAGATGTTCTGTTGTCTCTTTTAAGCCACTTATCCATTTTTTATATGCAAAAATTAGCACGAATCAGTAACAGCAAATTACTCGTTTCGACAAAATTAACTACAACGACTGACGGCCACGAGGAAACTAATGACCACTGATGACGTGAATCAAGGGCGGTGGCAGTTTGCCGGGATTCCAGTGTTGCCAACAATGAATAAGACATTACGCGCTTGTGTTTCCAACTCGCAGCGTTGCCATGCACCACGTAAAAGATAACATTCGTTGATAAATTTGATTAAAATTCTTCGTTTCTTCTAGTTTATAGAGTACCACCTTAAAGTTCTTTGCGTACCACCAGTGGTACGCGTACCACCAGTGGTTGGTACGCGTACTACAGTTTGAGTACAGCTGGTCTAAATGAATGATTTTACAAAAAAATAAACTCAAAAAAGTTGTAAAATAGGCATTTCATTCCATTGACGTTCCGTTTTTAATCGAATATTATATTACAAAAAGTTGGGGGCAAATCTTGAGCAATCCTTAGAAACACTTAGAAAAATCAGAAAAAAAAACATTTTCGCTACTTCGGTTTTATTGGCCACGGCATGTTAACACATATTATAAATCTTCATGAAAAGGTTTTAAACCATTTTGGAGCAATATTAAAAAATTCGGTTTTATTTTTTATCTTCTAACACCCCATAACTTTTTCTGGTACACTTTTGCATATGGGCAAGATAGGCCAAATCGACTTATCCCAAAAAATCATGGTATAATTTATGACAAAACTTTATGAAACTCCCTGTATAACGAGTTTTTAACATTAGGCATTACCTCCGATTAATATTAAATTATTTTTACCTAGTACCAGTTTAATAACAATTAGAAAATAATGTAGAATAGAGAATGAAAAAAATTGACGTGTAGTGTATAAATAAATATCAGCCAAAGAGCTTTTTTTATCGAACTCAGCTAAGGGTACTATTAAATTAGCTTAACACGTAGAAGAAAGTTCTTTTTGATCTATCATGTTTGCAAAAATGTCAGAGACTTAAACAGTACCACAGGTACGTCTCTGACTTCAAGGCAATATTGTAGATATGTTTACACTTCTAAAATAAACATATATTATCCATTCTAAGCATACCTACTGAAAATTTTATATAAGCGTAATGAACACTATTTTTACTAAAATTATTACTGCATTAAAAAAGTTTATATGAAATACTAACAATATTTTGTATGAACTTAGGCTCGAGATACTCCTTATAAATAATGAAATTAATTATACAAATAAAACAAAAAGTACCTTTAACAGTTTCCGTCATCTCACCAAGCAATAAACCCTTAATAATCCAGTATGTATCCCAATAATAAATTTCTTTAAACCTTCCTCCAGGAATAATAAAACCGTGCGGAAGATAGATTAAGGAATGCTGATCTTGATGCTTGCTCACGGACTCATCTACTTTTCTGGCTAGATTTGGCCAGATGTTTACAAGTATTTTCGCAAATTCTAAAACTTTGGGATCTTTTATTCCATCGAGGAAACTGGGATTTTCGTTAAAATCTGGAGGTGTCCATTCTACTAATTCTTTGTTATCTGTAAAATAATTAATGTCAATATTAGCAAAATGGGACAAAAAGTTAGGGTTGCGTATAATCTGTCCCGGCTGTGTAATCTACGAGGATGGTTTCGGCTGCTAGAGAAACTGTTTCTCCTAACTAGTGGAGTGCTAGTGCTAACATTAAAATTGACAAATCGGAAACATCCAAACGACAAGCTGGATGCAACAAGTTCAGATAAATTATTATACATCATGGTGTCCAAAAAGTATAGGAGAAGGTGGGAATATGGCCCCTGCTGGTAAGTCGGCCCTCGAGTGAATTTGTCACTTCCGCCAATGCTATTGTTGATTTACGCTTGATACTACATATATCTTTATCTATCGAAACTTGTCAGGACCCGAGAACTACCGCGTTTAGTCTTTAGTCAACTTACAAAGCTCACTTCATTCACGTGTTTAACAAAACCTTTTGCCGTTCTTGTGTTTGTTGTTTTTCGAAGAAACCAGTTATAAACATTACCTTTCACTGATTAGTGTGTAGAAAAACTATTGAATATCGACTTTTAAAGGTAACTATGAACATTTTGCAATAGATATAAATTGTTTTTGATATTTTGTTTATAATATAACTATTGCTTTAATATGGCCCCTGAATGTGTATGCATTATGGACCCGGGTCCATATTACATACACATTGAGGGGGCCATATTACATGTTTGCACTTTATTATTTTCAGATCCCTCGTATTAATCTTTTTCCTAAATCTGAGAAAAAAAAGAGTAAATTGTGGGGTGCTAACAACATGAGAAAGGCAGTAGAGGCTGTTCGTAATAAGCATATGAGTTTTAAGAAAGCAGTCAAAACATTTGCTGTACCAAGAACTACGTTAAGAAGGCTAGTTCATGATCCTAAGTTATTATTAGATCTGTTAGTACGAAAACCGTGAGGTAGAAAAACTATTTTACCTTTAACTTTGGAGAAACAATTAGTCGATTATCTTTTGCAAATGGAGCGCACCTTTTATGGACGTACTCGCTTGGATGTTAGGTGAATGGCTTATCAATTAGCAGTCAGAAATAACATCCAGCATCCGTTTAAAAATGAAAAAGCAAGTAGAGCATGGCCCGACCATTTTTTAAATAGACATAAAAAGCAATTATCTCTTAGAAAACCAATGAAAACATCTTACGCTCAAGTGCAAGGATTCAATCGCCCAGCAGTTTAGGAGTTTTTTGATCTGTTAGAGGTTGAATATGCACGAAAAAATTATTCTTCCGACCGTGTCTATAACGTAGATGAAACTGGACTTACAATCGTGCAATCAAAAGTACCTCTTTTGTTTTCCAAGAAAAACTTTTACAGATGTATTAATGAAAGGGGTTCCGCCAGGAGCAATCGAAAAAATACACCCTTCTGGTTGGATACAAACCAATTTATTTTCTAAATGGTTCAATCATTTTGTATCAAAGATCAATCCCATAGAGGATTCACCGTACTCGATGGACATTACAGCTACACTCGTAATGTGGATATTCTAGAAGTTGCCCGTGAAAAGCATATCACAATTATCATCTTATCTCCTCATACTACGCACAAGCTGCAAACGCTTGATAAAACATTTATGGGTGCACTTAGATCTCATTATAGTGAGGAAATAAGACAATTTCTGTTACATTTTGACAGAATACTTAAGCCTCATGATATTGGGTAAAGCTTACTAAAAACATGCAACAGTTGAGATCGCAGTAAATGGTTTTAGAGCGGCTGGAATATATCCCTTCGATCCTAGCAGAGATTCTATTCTAGCAGAGTCACAATCGCTTTAAATGTATTATTTCATTCACATGGAAAATATATCATTGAGTACAACTTCTTCGATGATGAACCCATCTAAGCCGTCTGTCAAAACTGCTACATTAACTGTAGAATCGTCTCTCCAACACACTTCATGCACTGTTCCTGAATCCTCAGTTCAACTGAAGTCATGTGCTCCAAGCACTTCAACATCAGATTCAGTATCTCTTCAACCCAAATCATCTAACGAGCATGGAAGACTAATAACTATAAAGCCTTCTGTCTTCTATTCAAAACCAGGAACATCATCAGCTGTAAACCGTTCGCTTATACTGCCCCATCAAATTTCACCAATACCCAAGCTTAAAATAAAAACCTGAAATCAAGGAAGAAAATCAACAAAAGCCACTGTAATTACATCATCGCCTTATAAATTTGAATTAGAACAATCTCTTAGAAGACCGTAAACAGAGTTGTGGACGCGTAAAGGGACGCGGAAGGGGACGAGGTCAAATTTGCAAAAAAGCCCAAGAGAAAGTTCCGAAACGTATTACCGTCGAAGATTCTGACACCGAAGAAAGTGATCTTTCCAATATTGAAGAGGATACAGATTTCGAACTAAGTTCACAGGGTTCAATTCTTGATAATGACGACGCCGTGTGCATCTTTTGTGAGGAGTCTTATTCAAGTAATAGCAGAGGGGAATCTTTGGTACAGTGTCATAGCTGTCTTTTGTGGTAATAGTCGGTTTCGACGATCATTAGTTAATTGTCCTGCCGTCGAGAAGACTCTTTCAGATGGAACCGAGGTCCCAGGAACAGATAAATATTTTTGAGCCAGTTCATATAATTCTGGAAACATACCGCTGTACTCATTCCAAAACTGAAAGGGGCATTACGTTCTGTCCAACATAGGTACTTGTAAATATTGTTTATTTTAAATAATTAATGCAGTGGCTGGTGTCTCTATGGATTTAGTATGAGACATTTTGCTATCAAAATATGCCCATAAATTTTTACTGGGATCAGAAACTGTAGCGGAACTTGAGGTATATTGAGTTTGAGGTTCAACATTACTTTCTTTATTAGTGTTCTTTATGTTTAGCATTCTTTTTACTTCGTCAGTTAATCATGCTACTGCATTTTTAGCATTTTCTTCTGTCTGAAAGTCAACGACTTAAATCGAGGATCAAGTAATGTAGCACTGGCCACAATTTTGTCTGTCTCCAAAGATGTCTTCTACCTATGGTTCCTAAAGGAGAATTTTTGTCGCAGTTACATGCTTTAAGCATTGTTGAAGTTCCCTGATCAAAGGAATAATTAATGAAATCGTCGGAAACTTTTCTGCCGACAACGTAGATGTCAGGACTGGTTTAAAAATGGGTACACAATCCCACATAATACTCCATTCAGTGACATCTAAACTTGTAGGGGCCTTGGGCAAACTTGTTAATGTTAACGTTAATGGATCTTTAATTTCCAATAATCTTTCTAGCATACCTAAACTAGAGTTCCATCGTGTTGAAACATCTTGCTTGACTTTGAAAATTGGAAATCCCATTTGTTCTTGTGTACTAGTCAATTTCTCATGGGTATCCACACTGTGTTTAAAATACCCAACAAGAGTCCTACATTTTTTTTTAAATCACAGATAATGCATCATTTTGTTTTAAACTGTCTACAACACATAAATTTAGAGTATGTGCAACACGAGGGTGGTGGTGTTTTTTCAGAAATTCGTTTATTGCACATTTTACGTTACTGTCGTTATCAGAAACAACAGTAACAATCTTACTCATTATTTCCCATTCGTTTAAAATTAGCTTTATAAGGTTCTTATATTTTCCCCCATGTGGGGTCCTAACATTTCTCTTGTAGATAACTCTTGAGAATAGTGGTAAGTTAAACTTATGTATGCTTTGTTACTGTCAGATGTCCATAGGTCTGTTTTCAAAGAAACATATTTTATTTCTTCGAATACTTCTATTAATGCTGACCTTACCTCAGAATATTGATTAGTTAATAGAGTATTTGTTAAATATTTTCTACCTGGAATTTTATACATGGGGTTTAAATTATTAACAAACTCTCTAAATCCCGTATTTTCTACAAATGAAAATGGTTGGTAATCTAAAACAATCATTTTTAGTACACTATTGTCTATTTTCCACTCAACGTCATCATTAAGTTCAGTAGTGCAGGGACCTCCAAATAATGTTAATTGCTTTCTTCTTTTAGGAGGGGCTAGGTCTGAGGTTAAGGTTGGTCGGCTACATGAGGGACATCTTCTGTGGCTCGGCTGCACGAAGGTTGATTAATAAAATCTAATTGCATTGGAAGAGTTTGATCATCGGGACCTTCAATTGCTTCTTTAAGTTGAAATGGGTGTATTTTTGTTAAGTGTTTTTTTTTTAATTGGTTGTATTACCATAATATTTAAGGATTTTTTTGCAAAGAGAACATTCAGCCTCAGTTTTATTTTTTTTAATCCCAAACTAACAAGTTTTTCATTTTTAACTTTAGTTGAATTAATAAATTTTTAAATATATTATATGTATATTTACATTTTAGAGTAATTTTTAAGAATACGTCAAAAAGTATTTTCCATAACATAGTTATACTATTTTGGCTAATTATGGTAGAGAAGTGACAATATAACTGGAACTGTTATCAATAACTGATTACTGACAAATAACAGTGGCTAATAGTTATCCAATAGATAGGTTACCAGTTATTCAGTTATTTTTTATATCAAGTTAGTTACTTGACTAAGCGATCATGCGGTCCAGTATTACTCGCTTCTAATGCGTAATTTCCGCATTTTAACTATCTGAATAACTGTCTACCAAATAACAGTTCGCTAACTCCGCATGGAATGACTGTTGGGTGTATTGAGAAGATTAATAGTCATTCTTGCCGGTCCCAAGCCCGAATAAAGGAGGAGGGTTAAGCGGAAGGCCAACAACCTGCCCTTATAAAAAAACAGTTTGTTATGAAAACTGCAAGTTTGCCTCGGAATCGAACAGATACATATGGAAAACTACAATCGCAATGGATAAGGACTTTGAATGTTGGAACATGGAATGTCCTATTTTCCACAGTGAAAATCAGACAGGAAAACACGAATTTGGCACAGGTTTCTTAGTACGAGAAGAATACCTGAACAATATTATAAGTTTCACGCCCATTAGTGAAAGACTTTGTTATATTAGACTGAAAGGAAAATGGTACAATATCTCAATTATATCCGCACATGCACCGACAGAAGATAAAGACGAAATATTAAAGACTACTTCTATGAACAACTCGAAAGAACGCTTCAGGAAATCCTCAAACAAGACATGCAGATAATCTGTGGAGACTTCAACGCAAAAATTGGCAAAGAATCTAACCTTTTACCGACAATAGGACAACACAGCCTCCACGATATCTCAAACGACAATGGACAAAGGCTCGTAGAGCTAGCATCGGCTAACAATATGCTTGTAGATTCTACTATGTTCTAACATAAAAATATAAACAGACTTGGGTCTCTAATGACCACTTCACGGAACCAAATTGACCACGTAATTATCGATGCTAGACGTGGAATTAATGTGCTGGATGTAATAAGCCTCAGGGGAGTAGATGGAGATACAGACCATCACCTAGTAAGAGCAAAAATCAGGTTGAGAATATCTTCAGGGAAACTTACAGGAATACTCCTTCAGGGAAGACGGCAGAATTGAACTTATTCTGCATTTTTTAACATTATTGAAATTTTAATATTTCGACATACTTTTAAAGAACATTAAACATTTTTCTCGTTATCACAAAAAGCGGCCTCGACCACCAAAAAAAAACTAGCAAAAACCGGCACAAGCCAACAAAAAAAAATACTAACAAAAAACCCCAAAAACCCGGGCACGTAGGTCCCAACCAGTTGGGCACCAAGTCGCCGAACTGAGCCTAGCTCTGAGCAGAGAGTTGAGGCCCAAGCAATTTTAGTTCGCGGATAAGCCACATTAAGATAACAGGAATATAGCGACAATGCGCTCTTCTGAGTTTTGAATTCGGCAAGAAATCCATGTTGGGGTTCTATTACCCAGGACCCCCACATGAAGAGCATTTGGCTGATAGTTGTGCGCCTATCGCGCATCAGAGTGCTATAGGAGGGAAAGGGATGGTCTGGAGAATTGGAGCGCGGTGGAGTGACTCCTGTTTTTACTTCAGTTAATACACCTCACTCCAATAAATTGTTATACCCGAGGTGTAAGATGAGGCGGCTGTGTAGTTTGTGTACGTTATTCGGATTTTATTACTTCCGTTTTCGATGTAGTAGTCAAAAAGACTACAGGTCTGTGATACAGTTATATTCCTTGTTTCTAGATTTTATAAATCTGCTCGGTTTATTTTAAGTTTTAGTAATGGATTTCGATAGTAAAGCTGGTCTATCAAAAAGAATCAGATATGGCGAAGCAAACCACGAAGAATCTTTGCTAAAATTGGCTGATGGAAGTCGATGAAAACGAAAGTGATGCTGATTTAGATTTCGAATTTATTTACAGCTATTCGGAGCAAGAAACGGGATATGTGTATATTTATTGAGGTGGTAATGATAATTGGTTTAGTTTCAAAGAATTAACGAATTCACTAGAAGCAAAAGGGCTGACATACGTTGGAACATTGAAAAAAAAATAAGCGTAAAATTTCCAATGCGATGTTGCTAGTAGAATCAGGAATGAGACGTCGTTGTCCAGAGTCCAGCTAAAAAAAGAAAAAACAGCATACTTCTACATAATTTGTAAAATTCCAACATATATCTGAGAAGGGACTGCTCTGAAAAGTTCATTAGGTTACATCCGTACCACTCTCTCAGGTTGCGCAACCATGACATTCTACGCCTCCCTATGCTTCTCTTTCCTCGGATCTTTCCCCGCATAATCAGTTGGAGCAAGGTGTATTTCTCTCCACTTGTAGTATGTCCAAGATATTCCAATTTTCTTGTTTTAATTGTATTTAAAATTTCTATTTCTTTATTTATCCTTCTCAAAACCTCTTTGTTTGTGACGTGTTCTGTCCACGATATTTTCACAATTCAGAAATCATAAAACAAAGTCGAAAAAACAGCACTTCGCCAACCTAACTCTTAGTTTCAATTTTAAATCACTTGTACATAGCATTCTTCTCATTTTGTTGAAATTTGCTCTAACCTTTTCTATTCTGATTTTGATCGCTTGGATGTAATCATTTGTGGAGTTAATCATTGTTTCCAGACATGCATATTTGTCCACTTGTTCGACGTTGGTTCCGTTTATTAAAAGATTCTCGTTATTTCTTTGAGTTTTCGATATTCTCATAAATTTCATCTTCTGGACGTTCATTGTTAGACCGTACTCTTTTCCATACTCCGCTATTCTGGGCACCAGTCTCTGAAGATCTTCAATACTTTCGGTTAAGATCACAGTGTCGGCCGCTTATCTAATTTTGTTAATGGGAACTTCATTTATCTTTATTCCAGCAGCTTCACGCTTAAGAGCGTTTTTCAGGATCTCTTCGGAGTAGGCATTAAAAAGAATTGGCGGGAATACGCATACTATCTCACTCCAGGTCTAATTTCAATTTCTTCTGACAGCTGTTCGTTAACACGTACGTTTGCTCGCTGTTTGTAGTATAAATTTGAGATGGTTTTGAGGTCGTTGTAGTCAATCTTTTTTGATTTCAGGATATTCATTAATTGTTTATGTCGTGCCTTATCGAATGCTTTATTATAGTCAATAAAACATGGGTATATATATCTTGATTGACGTCTAGGCATCTTTGTATCGGTATATTAAGTGAAAAAAGAGCTTCGCGCGTTCGCAGGCCTTTGGGAAAACCAAATTGTGTATCATTAATGTCTATGTCGTTTGTGATATATTCGGTTATGGATGACTTTTAGTAGTAACTTTAGCACATGAGACTTCAAGCTAATGGTGCCGTAATCGCTGCATTCTCTCCAATATGTATGGATTGCAGCAAAAGAATTTGTGTGGAGTGGGCATAATGAAAAGATACATCGGGAAAAACTACTGCACGTTTCTATATTATTTTTAAGTTAACTTCTAATTAATGTAATTGTTATATGTTATGTTTTTAACAAATTTTGTATAAAAAATGCTTAGCAAATATAAAAGTATTATCACCCTATTTTAAGCTAACTAAGAAAAATACTCAAAATATATATGTTTACAGTCGTTTAAAAATTCAAGCTTACCCTTAAAATTATCCTCCACAAATTTACTAACTTCGTCTTTAGATGGATTATCGTTATATTTTGCCATAAACTTTTTGAAATTTCTCAAAGTTTCATCCGGAGATTGCCGTTGGCTCAAATCCACGAACGTCTTTGAGTCACTGAAGATCCTCGCGGATTGTATTGTGTCCAATAGCTTCCCTTGGCAATAAATTAAACTATCACATGACTGTACTGTCTCAGCGCTGATAAAGCTGAATAATACTGCCGAAGCGTACAAAATGTAGCACTTCATATCGACTAGAAATGGTCATAAGACGTATATGAACTGAAAAACAAAATGAAAATAATATCAATTTAAACAATTAGTTTATATGTACCCATCTTGGATACAATAAAATTGTAGTTTGTTATCATACAGAGCTTTTGATTTAATCAGTAATAAATATAGCTAATAGGTAAAAACGAATCCTTCTAACATCCAGGATCGTCTGAGTTTTCCTTATCTCTCAGGCTTATCTTATTATTGAAATAATAAGGTGCACCCTTTCTATTTAGTTCGTTTTTTTTATAATCTACTTTCCTTTTCAGTTAGTAGCATTCTTTTTTTATTTTACTTTTATCAGTCTCGTTCGAACCTTCGAGTTGGAAATAAGTATCGAAGAAATAATTGTGTATAATTATCTTATCTTTTTGTAATTAGTACCTATAATTAGTATGAACCGTTCGTTATCAAGAAACTTAATAACAATAACCAAATTTCTGTTCAAAGTTATTATAATGATATTATATAAATAAAATAGTCCGGTATATTAACAAAATACGCCGGAGTGTCTTAATAATTCCTAGTTTTAATTAGTGAAAACTATAGATCACCAACTAGATAACCAAGAACCAACTAGTTATAAATGCAGCCAGCTACAAGAAGGGAAAAAAATTCCAACCATTCGAGAAAAAAAAGCAAGTGAACCACCTCGTTCTGTACATCCGTCAATCACTCAACCAACTATCAGCTATGGAGCTATGCGAAAATTGTTGCAGAAAGAAATAATAGAAATACATCTACCACATATGAGACTTCTCATGTAATAGAAACAATATATACAAAACACTCTAAAACTGCCAGTACATAAGTTAATGGAAAGATATTTGATCTCATAATCTCTTTGATATCTAAGCTTAACCTTTAACACTAAACTAAAAATATGCTGTTGGAATGCCAATGGCTTAACTACTCATTTCCACGAAATAAAGCAGTTATTTACTCTAATAATCTAGATGTTATGTTTATTTCCGAAGCACACATGACTAATAAGAACAATTTCTATATTCCCAAATATTCAACCTATGTAACTCAACATCCATTAGGTAAAGCACCTGGAGGTATGGCAATTATTTAAAAGAATAACATTAAGCATTATGAAATATAAAGTCATCAGTCGAGTTAACATCTAAAGCACATCACTGTCGGTCGAAAATTCACAAGGCCCGATTATTTTATCTGCTGTTTATTGCCTACTGAATAAAATAATTAAAGCTGATCATTCTACTGAATACTTTTAAGATGCTGGGACACCGTTTCATTACACCTGGAGATTATAATGCCAAACATCATAAATGGAGCTCTAGAATCATAACCTCACGTGGACGAAAATAATTACAAAGTATTAATGAGAATCATTAAATTCCTTCCTCTACTGGGTAGCCACGTATTGGATAGACAAAAAATTCCTGATCTTATTGATTTCCCTATAGTTAAAGGAATATTGCCTCTTAAAAGTAGAAAATGAAGTTGCTCACTTAACTATCATTATACCGTCCACGTCTACCCAGGAAATTACTTACAAACACAAATCCGAGTCATATCTCACATAAATAAACTTATATTGGAAACAAGAATACTGCGAAACAGGTGGCAGCTCACTAGGCATCCAGAAGATAAAGCAAATCTTAATAGAGCTTGTAGACTACTCAAGAGAAAATTGATACAACATAAAGACAATGGAATCAACAACTATTTAAAGAATCTCTCACCTACAGATGATACAAATTATTTACTGTGGAAACTAACAAAAAAACTTAAACACAACCAACAAATGAATATGCCAATCAGGAAACAAAATGGCATTTGGGCTAAAACTGATATAGATAAAGCATATACTTTTGCAAATCATATATGCGAGGTATTTCAACGGCATCACAGGGAAGTCTCAGTTAAAGAAGAGGAAGCTATTCATGAAGTCGTAAATGCACCATATCAAATAGCTTATTAAATCTGTTAAGAAATCTGAAATCAAAAATAATTGATAATCTGGAAATTAAAAAGTCACCTAAATATGATATAATATCTAGTTTCATCATCATCAGTGGCATTACAGCTCGTCATGAGCCAAATCCTTCTTCAGAACAATCTTCCACTCGCCCGTGTCTCTAGCAACTCTTCTCCATGTTTTAACTCCGATGGATTTTATATCATCCTCTATGTTATCTTGATACCTAAGTTTTGGTTTTCCTCTGGATCGTCTTCCCACTGTTCCTCTTCGGTCGAACATTTTTCTGATCGTTGCATCTTCATCTCGCCTAATTACATGTCCTATCCATCGAAGGCGTGCTAATTTAATACATTTTAAAAGGTCAGGTTCCACAAAACTTCTGTATAATTCAAAGTTGTAGCGCCTACGCCACAAACCTTGTTCTTGGACTCCTCTATATATTTTCCTTAGAATTTTTCTCTCGAAACGTTTAAGCAGTTCTTGGTTGTTCTGTGTAAGTGACCACGTTTCTGACCCGTATGTTAACACTGGCCTTATTAGTTTTTTACATATGGTAATTTTAATTTTTCTGGGTAGTTTTGGGGTCATCTGTTTCCTCAAGTTATAATAGCACTTATTGGCAAGCACTATTCTTCTTTTAATTTCTTCGCTGACATTGTTGTCCTTGGTTAGCAGCGTGCCCAGACGAAGGTGTCCACACCTTCCAGTTCCAGATAATCAATTAATAGTCTAGGTATCCGGTTGCCTGATCTAGTACAATACATTGTGTGCGTTTATTTTTAATCCCATTCTCAGTGCAGACGCCGTTAATGATCGAAATGCTTCGATCAGAGATTCTGTGGACCTAGCAATAATGTCTATGTCATCTGCATATCCAACCACTTATACATATTTATTAAAGATGGTGCCATTCGTATTAATATGGCATTCTCGAATTACTTTTTCTAGTGCAAGGTTAAATAAGAGACACGGCAGTCCATCTCCCTGTCTCAGTCCATTTTTACAATGGAAGGGTCTTGAAAAGTCGTTTTGGATTCTCACTACACTCTCTGAGCCTGTGAGTGTAAGTTTTGTTAGTTGAACAAGATGAAGCGGCATTTGAAATTCCACCATAGCCTGTAGAAGTTTTTGTCTGTTTACTGAGTCGTATGAGGCTTTGAAATGCACGAATCTGTGGTGGGTGTCGACTCCGAACTCAAGCGTTTTCTCAAGAATCTGCCTGACTGTGAAGATTTGATCCGTTGTTAATTTATTGGGTCGGAAACCACACTGGTAGTTCCCAACTATTTGTTCAGCATAGGGAATAATGTCTAGTTTAGTACTAAAACATCTACACAACGAAGGCGTAAGTTTAATTGCATATATTTAATTCAATATTTAAAACAGGTTATTTTCTACTCCAATGGAAATTTGCTCAAATGGTTCTTATTCCAAAACCTAATAAGGATCACAGGGAAGTATCTTCATAAAACTGAAGCTTATTATATATGACAGTAATGTTTTACTGTCGGTCAGATAGCCAAGCGGGCTAGGTGGGCGGTTCTAATTCGCTTCACTGCGAATGGTTCAGTGGATGTGGGTTCGAGCCCCAGCTCGGTGTCTCTCTCTCTCTCTCTCTCTTCAATCCTGACCCCCAGGGGGAGTGTAGTGGTCGACGTGATGTCGTGTATTGTCCGTCTCCAGAGATCTCTGTCTCTGGTCATTTCTTTTAATTCATGCATATTTCTTTGGCATATTCCTGTAATTTGATCTATCCATCTTGTTGGGGATCTTCCTCGTGATCTTCGGCCTTCTACCTTTCGTTGTATTATGAGTCTTTCCATGTTTTCTGTGTTTGCTCTCATAACATGCCCAAAATATTTTAATTGTTGGAGATGGACTTTACTAGAGAGTCGTTGGCTAACTTTTAGCTCTCTTAAAATTGAATTATTTGTTCTACGGTCGGTCCAAGGAATTCGTAACATTCGTCTCCAACAGAACATTTCAGTGGCGTCTATCTTTTTTCTCTCCGATTGTCTCAGAGTCCAAGATTCACATCCGTAGGTCAGTATTGGGAATATTAAGCAGTTGATCAACCTCATCTTTATCTCTCTTGAAATTTGACAGTCCTTCCATATTTTGGTCATTTTTGCAGCTCGGTGTACAGACCTATAAAAAGGCTAACAACGCAGCAGTTTAAAATTATAGTAGAATTTTAGACTAGAATATGCTGGTGTCTGATCGGTCTATGGTGGAGCAGTACGGCAAGAGATAAGGGCTTGCGGCTAGGTGATACTCCTCCATAGATCCCTAAGTTTTACTTAATTATCAGTTTGGGTTTAGGAAACAACATGATACCATCAAGCAAATTCATAGGGTGGTAAAAACTATCAGAAATTCGTTCGAACACAAAAATTACTGTACTGCTGCATTTCTACTTTTTTCAAAACTTTTGGGCCTTTTTCAAGAAAATTTGTTCAATTTTTTTTTGTTCGGCATCCTTCTAATTTGTTTAAAATGGACATTCTTGAATATAAATCCGTAAATAAATCAAATCAGAAATATTTTTCTTACGGAAGCGGCCTCACAACCTAGACTATAATACTTTTTAAAGCCATTTAGAACCATTTTTTTGCAAAGCATTTTATTTCGATTAATCAATATTAACAAAATATATCAATTACGTACAGAAATGTTTCGCCGTAATATCCCATACATTAGAGGAAAATTAATTTTTCTTTTATAAGCACATTTACCGTGAAAAATGTACGGCATGTCTAAAAATATTATTATATTATGCAACTAAATTGAAATTGGATTCATTGTCCAATAGTCTGAAAGCCAGTTGTCCAGTCTGAAAGCCAAAAAGTCTCTTTGAAACAATACGAAACTGGAGTTTCATATTGGCTCAAATGACTCCCCTGTAATACTTATAAATCGAGATCGATAAAACGATCCGAAACTATGTGTATGAATGCCTTACTGTGTCAAATCGCCAAAAATGGGTAAAAATTTTCCGAAAATAAAAAATTTTCCCTGCTCCCTCCATGAGACAAGGAAAATTCAAAGTGGAGAG